AGTTGTGCCTTTGACATCCCCATTAACCTCTTGTACATACCCAGTAAGTTTCCCACTCCTACCGTCATACTTGGAATATTATCAACATCTAAAACACTCCACCCCTACTCACTCCCAAACAGCATCTCCAACGTCCCAGCTTGCCATAGCCCTTACCTATCCTTCATCCTCGTAGTTGCCGCTAGTTTCTTTGTATTCTTCTTAGCTTTCATGGCCCACCAAATCAGTAACGCCTGTCAATATACTTAAATCTCATGACTCTTGTTCTTTTCTCAACTTCCTGACAAAACCCTAATCTTCAATGGATACAGTCATCTGCTTTCTTTGTGTCTGCACAAGGACTAAGCTGCTAGAAGAAGATGACACACCTCAGCAGTCTATAAACTCTCCATCATCAACTTCAGATGGGTCTTAGCACTGCCTGGTGACCAATGTTTCCATCTCACTTAGAAATTACTCAAAAAAGAACACGGTATTATTTCTGATTCTTCCATCTCCACACTTGTTCACATCCTGTCAATCTTATTGATTCCTCATCACTTACAGGACATAAGCCTATTCACACTCTTTTATCACAACTGCCACCACCTTAATCCAAGCTACTACTAATTTGTCCTATAATCGTCTCCTACATACCGTTTACCCTTCCAATCCAATCTCCATCAAAATGTTTTTTTTTTCTTTTTGCTTTGTTTTGTTATTTTAAAGCAATTCCATTGAGTTAATCCCTACTTAAAATGTTTTGGTGGTTTACCATTGCCCTTAACAATTAAAACTAAAATCCACAAGATCTTATTTGAATCAATACACTAGCTATGTCACTTTCCCTGATTTCTACATTTAAGGTACACAAGGCTTCTTCCAGACATGCCATGGACTATAATCTTTCCTTCCTTTTACTGTTTGCATATCCTGGTTTTGGCTCCTGAAATAGTCACTCATTCCTTATCTCTTGCTCTGGCAAACACTTTCCCAAAAGATATCAGTTCAGAAATTATCTTTCTCCACTTCATCAACACTCCTGAGATACGTTCCTCCATCATAAAAGTTTATTCTCTTGCATTATCAGGTTTCCCTCTTCTCTACTGAATCAATCTCATCAACTTACAAACATGGTTATTTTTTCTATTTGATTAAGGCATACCAAAATATCAACACAACTCTATCTGTGCTTACTACCATCTACCACCTTATTCTGCTACTTTTCTCTCTCTCTCTCTCTTTTTTTTTTTTTTTTTTTTTTTTTGACGGTGAGAGAGAGAGAGACAGAGAGAAAGGTCCTCCTTTTGCTGTTAGTTCACCCTCCAATGGCCGCCACAGCTGGCGTGCTGCGGCCAGTGCACCGCGCTGATCCGAAGGCAGGAGCCAGGTGCTTCTGCTGGTCTCCCATGGAGTGCAGGGCCCAAGCACTTGGGCCATTCTTCACTGCCTTCCCGGGCCACAGCAGAGAGCTGGCCTGGAAGAGGGGCAACTGAGAAAGAATCCGGTGCCCCGACTGGGACTGGAACCCGGTGTGCTGGTGCCGCTAGGTGGAGGATTAGCCTATTGAGCTGCGGCAACGGTCACTTTTCTCTTAGAGTAGTGGTTCTCAACTGTTCAGTTTCTCTCCCCACCCCACCTCAGGAGACATTTAGCAATACCTAGTAATATTTTTGATGGTCACAACTGGAGGGAAAGTGCTACTGGTATCTGGTGTAGAAGCTTGGGAGGTTGCTGAAGATACCACAATGCGTGGAGTAACCACTTGCACCCCAACAAAGAATTATTCGTTGTAAAATGTCAAAGATGCTGAGGACTCTCAGCAAGACTTTTTAAGAGTTAGCTCTTTTCCACATCTCCAATTCCTTCCCTTATTCTCACTAGAACCCAGTCCAATCAGGCCCTTGTTTGTACCACTTCCCCAAACTTGATCTTGTAAGGGTAAACAAGTGGTTTGGTTTTTTACTCTAATGGTCATTCTTAACTTTCATCATATGTGATTTATCAGCAGCATTTGATATATAGTATGACAGACACCTGATGTCCTACACTTAACTTGGCTACTACATTGTATCCTACCCAATGTCTACTTTATTCTTCCACTTATACAAGCAGTCATCTTCCCTTCCTCTCTTCTTCTCCAGCTTGTCAACAAATCTTCTTGGCTCTCTTTTCAAAAATATGTCTGGGACTTAATCACTTCTCACAACTTCTACTGCTGTTACTGTGGGCCATGCAACTGTCATCTTCACTTCATTTCTGGGTCATAGATTACTGCTAGTTTCCTTAGGGATCTCCCTACTCCTACTTTTGCTCTTTTACTACAGGACTACTGAACCTATGAAAACTGAACACAGTCACATGCTGATGTAACTGGGCTCAAACTGTTTTTAACTTGGATGTGCTCATAACTCTCCAAGGACCTTCTCTTGGAGTAAAAACCAAAGTCTTTTTTTTTTTTCTTTTTAGATTTATTTATTTATTTGAAAGGCAGAGTTACAGAGAGGCAGAGTCACAGTGAGAGTAAGAGCAAGTTTGAGAGAGAAAGAGAGAGAGAGAGAAAGAGAGAGAGAGAGAGGAAGTCTTCCATCTGCTGGTACCTCCCCAAATGGCAGCAATAGCTGCAGTTGTGCCAATCCGAAGCCAGGAGCCATGAGCTTCTTCCGGGTCTCCCACGTGGGTGCAGGGGCCCAAGGACTTGGGCCATCTTCTACTGCTTTCCCAGGCCATAGAAGTAGATCAGCCGGGGACTTGAACTGGCACTGAAGGTGGTGGCTTTACCCGCTAAGCCACAGTGCTGTCCCCCAAAAAGCCAAAGTCTTTATGTGTCTACAAAGTCCTAATTAATGAGATTGATGACATGATGTTGTTTTCTCTTTCTTTTAGTTTTTCTTCTTCTGTTGCAACCATCCTGCCCTTGCTGAAATTCATTAAATGCTACAGGCACATTTCCTAGGCAAGGCCTTCTCTCTGCCTAGAACATTCTCCTCCATAGCCCTGTGGCTTGTGACCCTCTACCCAAACTTCAGCTCTTTGTCCAAACATACCTTCTCAGGAGGAAATTCTCTGACAAGTCTTCTTAAAATTGCAGCTCCCTTTTATCTCACTCATTTGTTCTTTATTCTTTTTCTCCTAGGCATAAAGTATCTCTTCATCTGACGGTCCATAAATTTTATGAATTGCTTTTGTTTGTTGACTGTCTCCACCTGGAATATAAACTCCATGAGGACAGGGATTTTATATATCTTTTTTTTTTTTTTGGCTGTTTGATCCATATTTACATCCTCACTGCCCTCAGCCCCTGGTACATAGTAGGCCCCCAACAAATATTTTTTAAAGATTTATTTATTTTTTGACAGGCAGAGTAGCAGAGAGTAAAGGAGGGAGGAGAGGGAGAGAGAGAGAGTGAGAGAGAGAGAGAGAGAGATTTTCTATCCACTGGTTTACTCCTCAAATGCTCACAACAAACAACACTTAAGACAGGATCCCAGAATGCCATCCTGGTCCCATGTGGTAACAGGTGCCCAATTACTTGAACCATAATCCTCTAGTTTCCAGGCACATTAGCAGAAGCTGCACTGGAAGCAGTGTGAGCTGCCAGAACTTGAACTGACACTCCCAGATGGTTATGGGCATCCAAGCAGCTGCTGCAACCCACTGTGCAACAATGCCTACACTCTCCAATGAATATTTTTATAATGAATCCAACAGTGAATGAATGAATGGCATCCTCAATAGATACTCATCAAACACTTGCCATAATACAATTTTATTACTCTATCAACCACTGTGTTAATTACATGAAGTCTAAGTTGTTTTACCCACTTGTACTCTTAGAACATTAAATTCTTGCTTGAACAAATTTCCTTTCTTTGGCCTTCGTCCTTGCTCCATCTATTTGCTAGACTTCATGGAGCAAGTTTATCTTCTTCCAGGCTTCAACTACTGCCTGAGTGTCATTAACTTCCCAAATTTATTTATCCTTAGCCTCACTTCCATTCCTAATTTGCATTTGTAATTTCAACACCTTTTTCTGTGTGATTTTAACTGTGTCCACCTGTAGTCTATAATTCAATATCAACATGTAAATACTAAAAACATATTTACCTACTTCCTCATACTGACTTTACATAAAATAGACACATGTCCAAACTGCTCTCATACACACACACACACACACACAATTTGTCTCACTGGCTACTCTTTTGAGTATAGCTGGAAATGATAGTCATTTCTTTCTAATATATCTCTTACCTGGGGGATTCCCACATCCTGTTGATTTTACCTCTGATTTTATCTCATATAGGAGGGCACTTCAGAAGTTTGTGGAAAATGAAATTTAAAGACATTTATTTTGCTGCATAGAGGGAACTTTCAAAAAGTTCATGGAAACTGCATATGTCGAAAAAATTATGCATGGGCAAGGTAAGCAGATTCCCTTCCACAGCTATAGTATCAGACTAACAATGAAAGATATAGGCAATACTATGATTCTGCAAGCCAATTTCAATAAGGACCATTTAAAAAGCAGACTTTGGGAGGCGGCGAAATCTGTGTTTAACTTGTGGTAAAGGTCTCATTTTAAAAAATGGACACAATTTTGGTTTCCCTGACTTTAACGCCTTAAGTAATGTCCCCCCCCCCCCCCCCCCTTCATGGTTATCCTTCCTCTCACGCAGGCTGGACGCAAAATAACATTTACGGATTTGCAACGATATCATGGACTTCCTTCGCGGGTTTTTTTTTTTTTTTTTTTTTTTGCTTTTAACTAGTTTTCCGTAGCGGGGCTTTCCACACTTGCCAGCACGCCGCAGCCGCTGGGGACAGTTGCCTGGGGCACACGGGTCCGCTCCAGATTCCATTTCGCGGACATCCTCTTCAGGACCGGGCACCTAGCCCGGGCTGGGCTCGGATTTGGCAAGCGGAACCCCAGCGCGGGAGCGCCAGCGCCTTCCCTTCCAGCCTCAGGCTCCAATTTCACCTCAGAAATGCCGCGGAGCTGGGCGGGGCCGGGGCCGCGGCCGCCGGGTCACGTGACGGGTCAGATGACCGCCAGGCCCGTCCCCGCTTCCTGAACGGGACTGTGGCGGCCGCGCCTCCTCCTCTGCACGTGGTTTCTCCGCTACTGCCTTCCGCTCGCCCGGGTCCCCGCTCCTGCCGCCATGGCTCCCAGCCAGCTAGGTGAGGCCCTCCCCGAGCGGCGCTGCCTGCGTGCCTGGCCCCTGGGGCCCCCTTTCCCTCAATGGCGGCGGCCGGGCGGGAGCAGCGGGGCCCGGCTCGGCTGGGAGCTGTACTGCGAGACTGCCCTGCCCCTGCGGGGCCTGCGCGGCGCGGCTCGCGCCTGTGCCCTGGGCGGGCTCCGGGGCTAGGCCTACTGGCATTAGCGGTTTGGGACTCTGCCCCCCTAGAGCAGCTCCTAGGCGTTGGAGAACTCAGTGTAATGAGAAGAAAAAATGTCTTCTTGTTTCAGCCGTGTTGAGTGTCTCGGACAAAACCGGCCTTGTGGATTTTGCCAGAAACCTAGCTTCTTTTGGCCTGAATCTAGTCGCCTCCGGAGGGACTGCGAAAGCTCTTAGGGATGCCGGTCTGGCTGTCAGGTAAGGCCCGAGGTGGTGTTTGAAGTGTACGCAGAGGAGTGAGCTCACGTTAACCAGAGCGTAGGCTCCCAGGCAGCGTGAGGCAGGGGCCTCGTGTTCCTCCTCCCTAGAGCGCTGTGAGGTTGGCGCACTGAAGAATGACTTCAGACCCCGAGACTTAGCAACTTCTGCACGCCTTGACAGTGCTGTGTGAAAGCGCAAGGATGGGAACCCAGGCAGTACTGATTTCAGAGGCTTCCTCCTAAGCCCCTAACTTTAATGAATTAACTTGGTTGGGCCATTGATTCACGAAAATACAAATTAAACACCGCACTGTTCACATGATCTGGCTTGACTGGCTATGCAAGAAAACTGTTGGTGTCATGAAGATTCAAGTCTGCCTGTTCTTCGAATCTCAGGTAACCATAAGAAGGTACAGGTCACTGCCTGCCTTGTTGCCATGTGGGAAACCGACTTTGTGCATTCTCTGTCCATGCACAGGTAGATTCTTGCCATTTTTTTCTTATAGTTCTGCCCTGTGTGAGCAGCAGGTCACCACCCTGCATTTGACAAGTTCAGACAACAAGAATGCCTTCCTTTGTTAAATGCTTCCTATTTTCCAGGTCCTTTCACATCCTTTCTCTGTTGTGTCTCATAGGAACCCTGTGAGAATCAGAGAAGGCAGGCAGGCTAGCAGACTTTGAACAGCAGCAGGATGAGAATCCGAAATCCACTTGTGATCTTTCCCTTGGGCCCATTTGGGACCTCCTGTGGCAACTGGAATCCTTTTTTCATTAGGCAAAGTCTTTATCTCTAGGCTTTTTTTTTTTCCTGAAAAACTTGGTATCATGGTATCATGGAAACCTTTCAGGCAATCAAAAATAGAAACATGTAATAAGCCTCCATGTCCTGTATCTGTGTCACCCAGATGAAATACTTGTCAGCAGGCTACTCTTGTTTCCATACCTCTCCCTAGTCCTTGCTTAGTCCCATTATGATGATGTCGTTTTTCAAAGTTGGCCTCATAGACGTGTTTCTATCCTATTACAGTGTGAGAGTGTTCACTGTGAATGGTTCAGTTAGAACCCAGCACAACCCTGAAAAGACTGTAAACAACTTGGAGGGGTATGTCATACTTTTCAGTCAATGACAGACAGCTGCATGTGTATATGGTGATGGGTACCACATTGCCTAGGTTTGTGTAAGTATACTGTGTGGTGTTTGCACAATGATGCAGTAGCCTCAGCCTGCACAGTTAGGAGAATATGTCCCCACTGTTAGGCAGCACATGACTGAATTAACTCCTGTGGTCCTTAGAACTTGGTAGTGAAGGTAGTATTATCCCATGTGCTAGAGAAGGAAACAGAAGCACAAAGAAGTAACTTGCCCAGATTCACACAGCTAGTGAGAGGCCAAGGTCTTATCCCAGGAAGTTAACTTTTACCTTGTGAGGTAAACTGATGAGATTTTAGTCAGCGAGTGTACCACAGTGAGCATACAGAGAATTATTTCCAAAGACTACAGCCCTTACAAGTTCTCAAGTACAAAGGAGTAACTCACTTTTCAATTTCCTCCAGATATTTAAGAGTAAGTCTACCTTCTTAAAGTCTTACGGGATTGTCCTCAGTTGGAGGAACTGGATTTCATTTCCTGAATTTCAGAAAAGGGAATTCTGAATTGGAAACCAGTTTGTCAGTTGTGAGAACTGTGTATCCTTGGCCAAACACCAGGTATTTGCAAATTGGCCCTCAATAGAGGCTGCTTAGGAAATTGTGCACTCTGTTAGTGACATTTGCTGCTTTGAAAATTTTGAGTCATAAAATGAATTTTTAATTATACTTTGATCTGTTTCTGAGATAAGGATATTTTTAATGCTTTGTGTTATATACTGTTAAATTATTTCTTAATTATTATAGCTTGTGATTCAGTTTCTAAATTCTCTGGAAATTGTAAAACCAATGCTTTCATACTTACTGATTCTTCCTAAAGACACATAGGTTAGAAAATATGCTAAGTGATAGGTATTGATTTGGAAAGTAAAGAGAATTGTGATTAAAAAATCAAGTATATGAAAGACAAGAAACTGGGATCATTTTTATCCAGTTCAGACTGTGGAAGAAATCTGGAAATGAGAACATTAGACTTAATGACGGAAAGTGCTTTAAGCAGTATAAAATGACAATTTTACACTTGCAGAGCTGGCATCCTATATGGGCTCCAGTTCAAATCTTGGCTGCTCCACTTCCCATGCAGCTCTCTGCTAAGGACTCAGAGAGCAGTGGAAGATGGCACAAGCCCTTCAGCCCCTGTACCCACATGGTGGGAGACCCAGAAGAAGATCCAAGGTCTTGGCTTGATCAGCACAGCTCCAGCCATTGCAGCCACATGGGGAGTGAACCAGCAGATGGATGACCTGTCTCTCTCTGTCTGCCTCTGCCTCTCTCTAACTCTACTTTCCAAATAAATAAATCTCCAAAAAAAAAAAAAAAAAAAGAATGATGATAACATTCTGTTTATCTCTTTGCAGAGATGTCTCTGAGCTCACGGGATTTCCTGAGATGCTAGGAGGGCGTGTGAAGACCTTGCATCCTGCAGTCCATGCAGGTAAGTGGTTGGTACCTTCAGTTTAACACAGTGCTCTTCAAGCATATTTTGGTTATGTTGAAGAGTTAAGGAGTGAAAAGACAGGTCATCAGCTCAAAACTAAATTACTGAAAAGATGATACTGGTTGTGTCACATTTGCCGTCAAATTTCATAATACATTAGAACCTTGTCTTACTAAAAGATGAGTTCTGATTCTTTTCTTCTGCTTGCTGTTAGTCCTGAATCATAAATAATTTAGAGTGTGATATTTCCTGCTGGAGTTACTGAAAACATTTAGCGTTTATAGTATGAAAAGGGTTTCTTTAAAACAATTCAGACTTAGAATAAAGTATCACAATGTGACTCTAAAGGAATTTTTTTCTTAGTGCTTATTACATTTTTTCATTCAGCTGAGACAGCAAATAGTTTATAAACCAAAATTGACAAGAAAAAGATATATTTGTGACTTACTGTCTGCAGTATATTTAACAGATAATGGTTGAAAGGCTGAGGATCATCATTGACTTATGGGAACACATAGACCTTACTAGAATTAGCTATAGTTATATAGAAATTCCTTTTACTTTTTTCTCTCTCTCTCTTTTTTTTTTTTTTTTACTTAAAGGAGATCCAGAACTGATCAAAAAGATTTTTAAATACACTTGCAAATCATAATTTTCTTGGTAAAAACTTTTCAAGTATGTGTTTGGTATTCTTGAAGAATATTGGAGAGTTTAACTTGTTTGATGGGCTCTATTGAAAGAGGCACCATATTCTGACTTTTTTGAAGCTGCCACTTTGTTTTGTTAAATTAGGTATCCTGGCTCGTAACATCCCAGAAGATAATGCTGACATGGCCAGACTTGATTTCAGTCTTATAAGGTAAAAATATGAAGTTAAACTTTGGATCAAAGACATCCAGTATACCAACCCTCGTGTCCTGCCACCACCCTGCCGTTCTCTTATTTTTTTATGTAACTCAGTATCACCCTTTATAGAGTATATTCTGTGTTTTGTTATATATGTATAAACATTTTGATTTCACCAACTTTACATCATGAAATATGTACCATTAAAAACAACTTGTACTTTTTTAGGAAGTTACAATTTAAATTTTGGTATGTACATCTCTTGTTAATATAGTAGAACAACAAAGCTTAAAATTCAGGCTTTCTCCTGCTATACATTCAGCACAGATCACTTCTGATGCCAGATGTGGAGGGACGATTCCCCACGCACCCGGCAAGCAGTCGTTTCTGCAAGCAGGCACCACCAGCTGGGTGCTCTCTAATCCAGTTTAGTTCAGACACTGCCTGCCTGGAGGCAGTGTCAGATGCCATAGATTGAGTGTGTAGTCTCCATAACTGGCTCCTCTTCAGACACCAGTTGCATGTGCCCCTGAATTGCTTTGCCTGTGGTACTGCTGAGCCAGCTATAAATTGGGGTTCCCGCAGTCCTCCTCCTTGTGTCCAATTAATTTGCTCAAGTGCCTCATAGAACTCAGGAAAACCCTTAACAATTACCAACTTATTATTAAGAATATTACAAAGGGTACAAATGAAATGCCTAGGACTAGGTAAGGGAGATGGTATAGAGTGGCTTCTGTGTCACTCAGATGCACAAACCTCCAGAACATTCCTTGCATTTGGCTATCCAGAGCTCTCTGAACCCTGTCCTTTGAGTTTTTATGGAGACTTGTTTATATGTACATTTCTTTTTTTTTTGGACAGGCAGAGTTAGTATGAGAGAGAGACAGGTCTTCCTTTCCATTGGTTCACCCCCCAAACGGCCGCCACGGCCAGTGCGCTGCAGCCGCCGTGCTGTGCTGATCCGAAGCCAGGAGCCAGGTGCTTCCTCCTGGTCTCCCATGGGGTGCAGGGCCCAAGCACTTGGGCCATCCTCCACTGCCTTCCCGGGCCACAGCAGAGAGCTGGACTGGAAGAGGAGCAACCGGGACAGAATCTGGCGCCCCAACTGTATGTGGCTGTCCAGTTCTCCTAGAATCATTTGTTGGAAAAAACCTATTCTTTCCCCATTGAATGACGCCTCTGTGTGTGTCTCCTATTATGCTGGTACTACACCATTACTACAGTTTTGTAGTAAGTTTTGAAGTTAGGAAGTATGAGTCTTCCAACTTTGTTTTTCTTGTTGAATATTGTTTTGGTGATTCAGGGACCCTTGCATATCCATATAACTTTTAGGATCAATTTGCCAATTTCCACAAAAAGACAGTTGGGATTTTCATAGGGAATGTTCTGAGTCTGGAAATATTTTTGGGAATGTTGTCATCTTAATAATATTAAGTCTTCTAATCCATGAACATGGATGTCTTTCCATTTATTTAAATTTTCTTTAATCTCTTTCAACTATGTATAGTATATGAGTCTTGTACTTTTGTTAAATATTTTATTGTTTTTGATGCTGTCATATGTAGAATGTTTTTCTTAATTTTGCTTTCTGATTATTATATATTGTTGATGCATATTAGTATAGTTGATTGTTGTGTATTGATCATATGTCCTGTAACCTTGCTGAACTCATTTATTAATACTGGTAGGTGTTTTTTGGTGGATTCTGTAGGATTTTCTCATACAAGATTATGTCACCTGCAAATAGAGATAACTTCACTTTTTCTTTCCAGTCCTGTTGTCTTGTCTTTTCTTTTCCTTGCTAATTGCCCTGTCTGGAACCTCCAGTACAAATATTGAATAGTAAGTGGTGAAAGTATGAGATAGGTTAGATACCAGGGTTGGTAACAAGGCAGCCATCCCTTTCCTGATCTTAGGGAGAAAGTATTCAGCCTTTCACCTTGAAGTGTGATATTTTGCTATAGGCTTTTCTTATGCTTCATCATGTCACGGAAGTTCTCTTCTATTTTTAATTTATTGGGTACATTTTTATTTTAAATCAGGAATGGGCATTGAATTTTGTCAAATGGTTTTTATACTGTATTCATTCTGGATTGTATTTCCTAGTATTTCTTGAGACTGATAGAAGTATTGGTCTGTAGTTCCCTTGGGACATTTTTGTCTGGTTTTGGTTATCAGGATAATAGGCCTGATGGAATGAACTGGGAAATAGTGGCCCCTACTCTTCCATTTTTTTTTTTCTTCCCTGAATTTTCTCCAGTTCAGCTTGTTTTGGCCAGGAGCCTTTCCATCTCAAAACATTTTTAGAAATTTTTTTAATTGGCACTTAATAATTGTGCCTATATATGGGGTAGAGTATGATATTTCAATAGTGTATGTAATGTGTACTGATCAGATCAATGTAATGTTTCCTTTTCTTTGTAATTTCATTACTTTATGTTTGGAGCCTTTGAGTTTCTCTCTTGCTTGTACAGTTTTATGAACTATAGTTACTTGACAACATTTTTTAAAATTTTTGATGGCATGAAAGTACTGGGTAGTCACTAAGGTTACCTGGGCAGCAACAGCACAGTATTGTTTGGAGAGAATAACATGTATCCAGATACCCAGCACCTGCTGACTAAACTACCAACCTTCTACAACAGTAGGGCATCTTGAGTTTTTGACACAATTTTTTAGAATTCTAAAATGCTAGGCTCACAGTTAATGTTTTAGATCTTTGTGGGTTTGGGTCACATTAATTGTATAAAGTTTTTTCTGCACAGTTGGAAACTTCCTAAGCCGAGTTTTTAGTAACAATGAAATTCCTCTGTCTTAGAGTTGTTGCCTGTAATCTGTATCCCTTTGTGAAGACAGTAGCTTCTCCAGAGGTAACTGTCGAGGAGGCTGTGGAGCAGATTGATATTGGTGAGTTACCTTAGAGGACCAAGAGAGGAGTGTTGTTTACATTTTTTACAATAAGGTTTTATTTTGATTTTCATTGTTGATTGCATTCTGGGATGAGTATAATTTATCTTTTAAAGTATTTTGTGCATGTGTGTGTAGAGATTCATCTGGTTATTTTTTCTCATTTTTTTTAAGTTAAAAATTAAAGTGGGGGCAGATGTAGTATAGCAGCTAAGCTACTGCTTTGTGTGTCTGCATCCCATATCAGAGTGGGTTCGAGTTCCAGCTCTGCCCATGATTCCCACTTCCTGCTAATGAGCACCCTGCAAAGCAGCAGGTGATAGCTCAAGTAGCTATCACCACCACCTACATGGAAGACTCTGGGATTGAGTTCTCAGCTGCTGCCTTCTCCCTGGCCTAGGCTGGGCTGTTAAACATTTGTGGAGTGAACTAGTAGATGGGACGTCTGTCATTATCTTGTCTCTCTGCCTTTGAAGTAAATAACAATTTTCATAAAAAAAGAATTATTAAAGTAGAAGAATGTTCACTTTGACTTCATTTGAAAGACGTTCATAAACTGATAGAAATAAAAAAATGTAGATCTTTTTGGGCTTTATTTTTAATGATTTATTTATTGATTTGAAGTTCATCATTACAGAGAGAAAGGGAAAGACAGAGGTCTTCCATCTGCTGGTTCACTCCCCAAATGGCTGCAATGCCAGGCTGGAGCCAGGAGCTTCATCTGGTTCTCCCATGTTGTGGCAAAGGCCCAAACACTTGGGTCATCTTCCAATGCTCTTCCCAGATCACTAGCAGGGAGCAGATCAGAAGTGGGACAGCTGGGACTTGAACGGGCGTGCCTATAGGATACCATCATCACAGGCAGGGGATTTACCTGCCATGCAACAATGCCAGCCCCGTATTTTGTTCTTAAAAGGTGGAGTGACTTTGCTGAGAGCTGCAGCCAAAAATCATGCTCGAGTGACAGTTGTGTGTGAACCAGAGGACTACGCGGTGGTTTCCTCAGAGATGCAGGCCTCTGATAGCAAAGACACCTCCTTGGAGACCAGGCGCCAGTTAGCCTTGAAGGTGAGGATGCGCGTCTGGTAAAGTATAAAGTCACATCTATCTAGTCTAGTGTTGGCCAAACCAAGCAGCATTCAGTTCTTGTAGATTATATTGCCTGCCAAAGCTCTGCTTGGAGCTGTGAGACAGTATACAGGAATTCTGTCAAAAAGGTGGCAGGAGAATTGGAAAGAGATAATTCGTGTGCATTCAGTGTTACTCAGTGTTAGTGTGTGTGTGTGTGTGTGTGTCCTGTAGTTTGCTTGGCACTAAAATTGCCTTGTCCCACACCCTATCTTAGGGAAGGGCTGCTAGGGCCTCACAAACCTTACACTTTTTGTAGGCATTCACTCACACGGCACAGTATGATGAAGCCATTTCCGATTACTTCCGGAAACAATACAGCAAAGGAATATCTCAGATGCCCTTGAGGTATGGGATGAACCCTCATCAGACCCCTGCCCAGCTCTACACACTGAAGCCCAAGCTCCCCCTCACAGGTAAGAACTCAGTGTTTTGTCCAACACTTTGCTGTGTCTGGAGCCTTCCATGTGTATCTTTCTTCCATTTTCTTTTCAGTGTTGGATTGGATGTGGTTCATGTTTAGAATATAAATTACATGATTCCTCTTAAAGGTCTGTGTTACCAGTGGACTTGTGAGCATAGTTGTCGAGATGATCTGGAGTTCTGGGAGAGGTCAAGTTGGAGGTACATACTAGAATGTCTTTGTCATACACATGTTTTTGAAGACATGGAACAGGACGGGATGGTCTAGACTTCCTAGAAAGAGTCAAGATCAAGATGTTAGGTACTTCCTTGGTAAGTAGAGCAGTGTTGGAACCAGCAGAGGAAAACCTGGAGAAATGTTGTGGAGAACAGGGAAGGAGCCATTTGTTTTAAGAATGTTAGAAGAAGCAGTTTCCTTTGATGGATGTGTCTAGAATTGAAGTGAGCCAGAATGAAAGTGTGAAGTTAAGAAATGGCAAAAATTGGGGCTGGCACTGTGGCAGCCTCCATTTGGGTGCCAGTTTGCAACCCAGCCGCTCCACTTCAATCCAGCTTCCTGCCAATGTGCGTGGAAAGCAGCTGAGGATGACCCAAGTGCTTGGGCCCCATCTACCTACCTGGGAGACCCAGAAGAAGCTCCTGGCTTCCTCATGACCCAGCCCTGGGCATTTTGGCCATCTGGAGAGTGAACCAGCAGATAGAAGATGTTTTTCTGTCTCTCCCTCTCTCTCTCTGTAAACTCTGCCTTTCAAATAAATAAATTTTTTTAAAAAAAAGAAGAAATGACAAAAATTGTAGAGTTGAGAGAGGGATTTCCAGTATATGTCCCCATTTTGTTTCTCAGGTAGGGTGGAAGAACCTGTCCTGGAATTAGGGAGAATGGGGCAGGGCCAGAGGAGAGAGTTTAGGGTGTGAAGGCCAGGGAAGCCCACATGCTTCCTGGAGGGCTGGGCTTCGGTCAGCCAGTACAGTGTCATTCACAGACCAGGAAGGCAAGCCCCCGGCACCCAGACCAGTACCCCTGGTGATATGAGGATGCGAGTGTTCCTGTGTCTGCTCATCTCTCCATGACTGACTAAGGGAAAAAGGTGGGCAGAGAAGCAGCATAGGAAGTTGCAGGAGATTTCAAACTCTGCTCCCCTCTTCTATCAGTGGATCTTCAAGTTCTGATGCTCCTCTTCCTCAAATATGGTTTGAATCTTTCGAGGATTACCCATGTCCCCATGGTTACCCCTTTTCTTCCTGACTACAGTCTATTCTGTGCTTGCTCACTTGACCTGTTTTTTCACAACACAGTAATCTAAAAATGAAAATGGGGTGATGTTGCACCTTACTTAAAACTGTGTGGTTACCCACCTGCCCACATGTTCTGACCCTGATCTGCTTCCTCTTTAGCTTCCCTTTGCCCCTGTGCGCAGCAACTTCTTCCCATGCAGCCTGCAGGCACAGTGTCTTCCAGCTAGGCCCTTTATTCCCACCCAGAATTCCCTGCCCTGCAGGGTCCAGACCAAAGTAGCAGACCAAAGTAGCTATCGTTACTTTGCCACTACACTTGACACATTACCTGACTTTCCTGCATGTTTGTACTTTAATTGTCTTCTTCCACTAGCATGTCGGCTCCTATTAGCATGAGCTAAGGAACCTTGCCTGTGTCCACTGCTGCATGTTCCCTAAATATTTATGGAATGAATAATTTAAAACCTGACATTTGGCACAAATTTCTACTTCTAGAACTTTTTTATTTTTAACTGAAACATGAAAAGTATGCATATTTATAAGGAAGCATGTGATGGTCTGATATGTGTATACATTGGGCAGTGTTTATTCAGGGTAAAAATATCTATTTCCTCAAACATTTAACATTTTTTATGTTGAAAATATTTTTAAAATTTTTAAGAGAAATATACAGAACATCATTATTATCAATAGTCATCTTACTTTGCAATAGAAAACCCTAACTTCTTACTTGTATGTTCTTTATAATCTTGCTATAACTTAGAGCCTGTTAATCAGTCTTTTCCTATCTGTCCCTATCCCATCCTCTCCACAACCTCTGGTAACCATATTGCTGGAAACTTCTATGACAAACAAACAAACAAAAAAGAAACTTCTATGACATCAACTGTTTTAGATTCTGTGATCATATGATACTTGTCTTTCTGTGCCTGGTTCATTTCACTTAATATAATGACTGCAGTTTCATCCCTGTTACAAATGACATTTCATTCTCTTTTATGGCTGAATTGTATTCCATTGGTATATATATACTACATTTGCTCCATATCCATTTGTCAGTTGCTGGAGGACACTTGAGTGGTTTCCATTTTTTTGGCTACTGTGATCATGTTGCCAACAATATATGGGAGTGCAGAAGTCTCTTTAGCATGTGGATATTCAGTTTTTCCATTATAATTTTTATTTATTTGAAAGGCAGTTATGGAGGGAGAGAGGGACACACACAGATTTTCTTTTCTTTTTTCTTTTTTTTTTTTTTTTTTGGACAGGCAGAGTGGACAGTAAGAGAGAGAGACAGAGAGAAAGGTCTTCCATTACTGTATTTTCAACCTACAGTGTCTGCTGCCACTGGCGCACTGCAGCCGGCGCACCGAGCTGATCCAAAGCCAGGAGCCAGGTGCTTCTCCTGCTCTCCCATGCGGGTGCAGGACCCAAGGACTTGGGCCATCCTCCACTGCACTTCCGGGCCACAGCAGAGAGCTGGACTGGAAGAGGGGCAACCAGGACAGAATCCGGCGTCCCGACTGGGACTAGAACCCGGGTTGCCAGCACCGCAGGCGGAGCATTAGCCTATTGAGCCACGGCGCCGGCCACCACACACACAGATTTTCCACCCACTGGTTCACTCCCAAAATGCTCACAACAGCCAGGCTGCAGAAACTAGAAACTCCATCCATGTCCTCCACATAGCTAGCAGAAACCCAGGTGCTTGGGCTATCAGGCACATTAGCAGGAAGCTAGATTGGGAGTGGAGGAGCTAGTGCACAAACCAGGCATTTTAATGTTGGATCAGCCATCCCAAGCAGTGACTTAACCCCTTAGCCACAATACCTGTCCCTGCACACACATTAGCGATTTTTCTAGTTCTGTGAAAAACATCATTGGTATTTTGACATTGATTACTCTGAATATATAAATCATTTTGGGTAGTATGAACTTTTAACAGTATTGACTCTTCCAATTCATGAACATGGGATGTCTTTCCATTTCTCTGTTTCCTTTTCAGTTTACTTTATCAGTGTTTTACAATAATCTTTTAGTTCTAATTAAATTTATTCCCAGAGTTTTTTGTGTGGCTATTGGGAATAGGATTGCTTTCTTGGTTTCTTTTTTTATTTATTTATTTTTTCACAATGCCAAAATATTTTATTCAATGATTTAACATGTAAACGTTGGGCAAATTATGGTTGTTTTCCAAATACTACAAATTTATGGATGATACTACTTCAGATTTGAATGTCTTTTCCTCTTTCTCTAGTTAACATTTAATTAATTTGGTAATAGCTTCTTGCCTTTCAAAGCCATCTCCAATCTTACCTTTACTCAGAAGTCTTTCCTAGCACCTGAGTTGGACTGTGATTGTGTAACATTTCTATATTTACCCCATTATCACATTTTTTTTCATTTTCAATTCTTTTTATATACAGAAGATGAGTTTAGTATATATTAAGTAAAGATTTCAACAGTTTGCACCCACACAGAAACACAAAGTGAAAAATACTGTTTGAGTACTAATTATAGCATTAAATCGCAATATACAGCACATTAAGGACAGAGATCCTACATGAGGAGTAAGTGCACAGTGACTCCTGTTGTTGACTTAACAAATTGACACTCTTGTTTATGGCATCAGTAATCACCGTAGGCTCTTGTCATGAGCTGCCAAGGCTATGGAAGCCCCCTGAGTTCACCGACTCTGATCATATTTAGACAAGGTCATAGTCAAAGTGGAAGTTTTCTCCTCCCTTCAGAGAAAGGTACTTCCTTCTTTGATGACCTGTTCTTTATAATGGGATCTCACTCACAGAGATCTTTCATTTAGGTTTTTTTTTTTTTGGCCAGAGTGTCTTGGCTTTCCAAGCCTGAAATACTCTCATGGGCTTTTCAGCCGGATCCAAATGCACACCTTTAGGGCTGATTCTGAGGCCAGAGTGCTGTTTAGCACATCCGCCATTCTATGAGTCTGCTGTGTATCCCGCTTCCCGTGTTGGATTGTTCTCTCCCTTTTTGATCCTATCGGTTAGTATTTTCAGACACTAGTCTTGTTTATGTGATCCCTTTTTTTTTTTTTTTAATTTTTTTTTATTTTTTGACAGGCAGAGTGGACAGTGAGAGAGAGAGACAGAGAGAAAGGTCTTCCTTTGCCGTTGGTTCACCCTCCAATGGCCGCCGCGGCCGGCGCGCTGCGGCCGGCGCACCGCGCTGATCCGATGGCAGGAGCCAGGAGCCAGGTGCTTTTCCTGGTCTCCCATGGGGTGCAGGGCCCAAGCACTTGACCCATCCTCCACTGCACTCCCTGGCCACAGCAGAGGGCTGGCCTGGAAGAGGGGCAACCGGGACAGAATCCGGCGCCCCGACCGGGACTAGAACCCGGTGTGCCGGCGCCGCTAGGCGGAGGATTAGCCTATTGAGCCACGGCGCCGGCTGTATGTGATCCCTTTGACTCTTAGTCCTATCATTATGATCAATTGTGAACAGAAATTGATCACTTGGACTAGTGAAATGGCATTGGTACATGCCACCTTGATGGGATTGAATTGGAATCCCCTGGTATGTTTCTAACTCTACCGTTTGAGGCAAGTCAGCTTGAGCGTGTCTCAAATTGTACATCTCTTCCCTCTCTTATTCCCACTCTTACATTTAACAGGGATCACTTTTCAGTTAAGTGTCAACACTTAAGAATAACAGTGTATTAATTACAGAATTCAACCAATAGTATTATGTAGAACAAACAAAAAAAATACTAAGAGGGATAACG